ACTGATGTGTGTGTGTGTGTGTGTGGGGGGGGGGATTATATACTTTAGCTTTAGGAATGGTGACATAATTGCTGTAGACTTTTTTGATACCACTTCCCCCTACGTATAAAACAGGTGTCTCTAGAACTACACTCTTCTTATACGTAATGGAGAAACCTTGCAACTGAGTTCCTCTCCAGTTGTGATTCAATGCAGAAGAGTGGAGCAAACTTTGAAACAGGAGCCGTTACCAGTTGCAAGGACACGGTTTTCCTCATAGTGAGGGTGGGCTTGATGCAGCCACCCCAATTTAACCCTGGCCAGCCACACAGTCTAAGCTTTCAGAAATCAGTTCTGCCAGGCTACGTTTCGAAAATCATGCTTTCTGGTAAAGGACTAAAGCAGATGCTTTCAGAATAAACAAGTCACAAATTAGCTGCTGTTCATGATAATTATATATCATTATATGGAGCAGCCACTGTAGTCCTCATGATATGGAAGACAAAGAGTAAAATAAAATAAAAAAAAGCTACTATTATACAGCTACTGTTATTTTGGTTACTGGTGGCATAGTTTCTATTCTGCTCCCAAGGATGCAAACATAGTTAGATAATAATTCAAATGCATCATTCTTTGTAAGGTAAATTTGTTCCAAGGTGCAGTATTGACTGATTGGTTTACTGTACTTTTATACTGCCACACTCGCTTAAGATTCATACGTATTTACAATATACAAGTTAGCATAAAATTTATTACCATTATTGTCATTAGGCATCCTCAACTATTAAAAGCTCCTTTAAATCGATCTGTTTTCAAGGCCTTTTTAAATATCAAGAGAGAAGGGTGTTCCATAAGATCAAGGCTACTGCTGAAATGCACTGGTTTCTACCCCTCCAAATCTTCTGTATGGCAGTACTCTTTCAGCACCACTGCACAAGAGTCCGAACCAGACAGCTGACGCAGATGGTCCTGCAGGAACCTGATTGTCAAGCCATGTAGGGCTTATAGAATTCCGAAGGGTATCTGGAAGCCAAGTGGTAACCACTGCAGAGGTCACACACCAGTGTCATATGGATATATTGGCTCTCCCTCCACAGGATTTTATACCGACTACAGCCCCAAGTAGAGTCCACTGCCAAAATCAATATAAGAGGTAACAAGGCATGGGTTTTCATCAGGGCTTCCTTCTCCAGGAAGGGCCACAATTTGTTCACAAGCCAAACTTGTCAAATACTTTTGCAAATCGAACTGAAATGATCACCTGTTGGGTACAACACCGTGAGTGGTGGTACACCTGCAGTAGCATTTCAAGCTATAAAATTTATTTAGTGAGTCCTGTCTAAAAGTCTTGTCATATATTTGATACCCATGTTAGGAGATGTCATGTGTCCCTTGTCTGTGTTGAGCAGTGAATCCTGGGTTCTCATCAAAGAGGGCTTTGAGCTCTAATCAAATATATTCAGCACACTTAAGTATAAATAAATTAAATATATACCTCCTCCATTTTTCCCACATAGGTATGGGAACCTCCACACATTCCCCAAACCAATTGCATAGCCAACACAGGACATAAGAAAGTCAAATTTTCCCTTCCAGATGTCTCTGTCTGGAATAGCTCCTCTTTTCTTTTGCACCTTTACTACTAAAGTCTTAGGCTTATCATTAGTAATTGAGGCATCACTGAGTTCTGTGGAGATCTGCCCATCAGCTACTTTTGTTCCATTTGTGGCCATGTCTCTAGGTTTAGATGGAGAGGCCCTTGCAGGTGGACGAGAAATGTCAGCACCAGTCCACGTGGACAGCAGCTTTGCGGTTCTTGTTTACCAAACTAAGGATTGATGGGGTTGTTAAAGTAACAATACAAGTGATCCTTGGTTGCGGTGAAATCAGAACAGATGTCCAGCCATATATGTCTGCATTAATCTGTAAAACAAATTAAAATACATTTTTACTTGTGCTTCTGTGCGAATTGCTAAGAAACTATAGAAGTGTACAAAGATAGCCTTGAAGAAAATACACTGCAACTGTTAGTAAAACATAAGCTTAGCCGATGAAAGCATAAGAAATAAACTCAAGATCACCCTGCCTTGATACTCTTTGGTATAAGAAGGAAGGAAGAGAAAATGCTGCCAGGCTTTCAAAATTATGTTTTCATAGCTTATGTCAATAGTGTTCCAGTATATCTTGAGATGTCTGTTTTCTGACCTGGCCTATCTCAGAGGGCTGACAGAAGTGACTAAATTCAAGTAATTGTACCTTCATTCAAAAAAGGCATGCAGTTGTGTCACCTTGAAAAAAGGATACTTCCTGGGAGTATGCAGAATTGAATTATTAATTTTTTTAAAAAATTAACAAGTTACAAAACTAATATTAACTGGGAAAATCTACAACTCTGCATGCTTTGCTATTGTTTTACTAATTTTGCTGTTGCTTTATAAGATGGTTCTCATACTCAAAATGAAATTACTGTTACAATATAAATTGCAATAGTTTCTCTGTTCATCCAGAAATTAAACTTTTGAAATATGCTATTATAACTATAGAACATAGACTCATAATTTTAACTTTTATTATTACAAAGACCTGGAAGATAAACACAAATATGTAATAACCTATAATTAGTACAAGTTTCATTTTAAACAACAGTGAAATGAATGCATTGAGAAGTAGTATTGCCCTGCCATTACTGATAATGAATCTATCAATTATAAATTATAATCCAAATGTATTTGCTTTACAATACAATCTTGCTTCTATATTGCCAATTGAAACTTTGATAATCAGTTCTCTTTCCATAATTCTTAGCTAAATTGTTCCTTACTTTATTTCTGGGGTTGCATCTCCGAGCATATGTATTGTTCTTGCAGAAGTCGTCTCAAATTTGCTGGATAAAGAAAAGGCTGCAAAAACAATTTAGCGTGCACGCTTTTCATCCACAGCTGTATTCAGCTACTGGCATCCAGCCTTTTTTTGGAATTTGCACATTGCCTTTTGTAATGCAAGCCTTGCTGAATATTATTAGGATTATATTGTACAATCAAAACAATTTTATATACAGAAAACTGGAGGATTAAGATTTATAAAGGCAAGTCTTCCATTTTATTATAATTAGCTCAGATCCTTATTTGATTTTCAAAAGTTCTCTGTTGTCTTCAACGTTCTAGATTTTTTTTATCCATTATAATCACTTGATAAAAAAGTAGTTTTACTATGATCTCCCATTTCATTTTCCTCGGTAATTTCTGGTAGCTTCTGGTAGCTTTTTTCCTCTGCAACTTTCCTCTGGTAGTTTTAGCATACTCAATATTTATCACATCAATTCCAGATGATGATGATGATGCCAACAAAAAGTAAATGAAAAGATGACTGATTTAAGCTGAATTGATGAACTACCAGTATTTTATTTTCAATCACACTGGACTTTTGAAGATTTTTGATCCAGGAACTTGAATACATTATTCTGGAATTTGTTGGTGCTGCTGAACTTAGAACATGGGAAGATTACCTTTATTTCTAAAATGCTAATTATGCTTTGAAATGAGCACACTCTTTCTCTCTGTAAATGTCTAGATGTGCTGCCCCTTCCCCACAATGCCTAATAAAAATCAATAAAAAGCAAAACATCATTTAAGCTGAAGAGCCTTTTCTTGTTCACTGGGGATAGTCAAATTTCTATCTTATATATAACATACTATAAATAAGAAGAATAAAACTAAGGCGGATACAGTAATATTAGAATACATCAGAATGGATGCATAGACATGAAGTGTATGGTCCCTATACAATGCATTGTTTTCCCAATTTCATATTTTTAAAAAACTCTTTTTCCAGCTTAAAATTTGAATGAATTCTTAGGGAATTTTCTCCCTTCTCCCAGATATACCTCCATACTCATGAAAAACATATTCACTAGACATACAAGGTCCTTATTTGTGACTGCAGAATATTGCGGGATGCTTCTAATGCTATGCAGAATGAAAGTGAGCTTCCTTTCTAGGCCAAAAAAAAAAAAGAAGTTATATCACTGAATAACATCAAAAGCATGTCAGAAATAGCCGAAGCACAATTTTATTGCACCATCTATTGAGGAAAATAATAACTACATGTGTAGTATTGCTATTTTATATCAAGACATTGCTTATGTTTTGGTTGGCAGAAACCAGAAGATGACATATACAGCTGCAAAATGCCTCTTTTTAGCGTCTAGGATTTGCCATAGCACAATGCCCCTGGAATGGCTGGACTAGACCATGCAAATAGTGAACAAGTAGGCCACTAAAAACCATAAAAAGCCCCAGAAGAGGTTCCTACATATCCCAGATGTAAGGAATGAAGCTGGCAAGACAGGAATCCATGATTCCCAAGCTAGAGAGAATCATTATGCCAACAGAGATCAGGTGACTCCCAAGGCAATCAAAGCCTTGAATTCAGGTGGGAGAAAAAAGTCTAAAAATTAAACCTAGAGCACAAAACTATATAAAGCCTTTGACAGTCTGTGTATATTTTCATTCCTGTGTGCAATAGAGACTAGTATAGTAGAGTTATTTCTGAGAACTTTCTGCCAAATCTGCCGATTTCTGAGTAAGCGGGTTAAGGACTTTGAGAGTCCTGCAGCCACCAAATTCTCAGGGAACCAAGTGCAAACTCTTGAAATATCAAAAAGTCCACATGTTCTGTCATGACAGAAATGCAGAATCTTCTGCTTGGGGGAGCCAGGCAAAATGTAAAGCCAGTCTTGGTGGTGCAAAACCCTGAGATACAAATAAAAGCCACTAATCTCTTCATTAGAAGATAGCGGTATTCTCTGACATGGGTTTAATTGCACCAGAGCAAAAATCCTGTCTAGCAAGGGCCTAGGTCATTTGGTAGTTATAGAATTTTCTGAATAAAGGACAGAATGAAGTGGGGTTTTGTTCCATTTCTTAGTATATTCAGGCTTTCAGTAAAGAGCATTGTTTATTTTTTTACAGAAAGGAGGAAAGTAAGAGATTATACAGTTGAACTCAGAGAAAAATAGAGACCAACAAATTTCTCTGTGGATTAATGCCAAGGCATTACATTAAATTCCGATAATGTAATATTGGAATTTTTATATTATTTAATATAATAAGGTGGATCGCATTATTTGTGGGGGCTTCATTCCAGTCTAACAATCACAGGTACAAAACTCTGGATTACAAGACCTTGTTAAAATGTCTTTGATGTATGTGAAAAAGCCTGCCCACTATTTTGCGCACATGTAAACCATCATAAACCAAATCAAAACCCACAAATACAAGAAAACTTTTGCTATGGATACTGAGGTCTATATATATTCAGATACATGAAGCCAAAGGTAATAGAACCATGGATAACAAGGGCCAACCATATTTGGACAGGGAAAGAAGTATCTTGGGCAGGCCTCAAAATCTGACTTTATTGCCAGAATGCAATTGAATTCTGATGAATTGTGCTTTCTTGAACAGTAAGTACATGATAATCCTTTCCATAGAATTGCAGGAACAGCACACAGATTACTTTGTCAAAGGCTTATGCTTTCACCCACAAGACCTTTTCTGGATCTGGGTAACAGAGAATGGACTGGGAAATAGAGGCCAATTTGAAAATGAGAAATGGAAACTATGTTCTTGGAAAAAGCCAAAAAAAGGGTTAGGGTTAGACAGTGAGTCTAAAAGTGTTGTAACACTATTTGGACATGCTGCTTACAGCAGTGGGGATTTCTGGAATATTTCTGCAGATCATCCAAGAATTCAATGAGGAAATGATCCAGGAACTCTGGAGAAACATTATTCATGAAGTTCTGAAAGGTAGCAGAAGTGCTGCACACTAGGTATACTCATTGTGCTTGTGGTGGGTACGAAACATAGCCTTCCACTCATTCCCTTTCCAGATCTGAAAACTTATATCAAAGGATATTCAAGTGAGAGCACAATAGTCTTATTTAATATAACACTAGGCCAGAGTTAAGTATTAGAAGCTTCCCCACTGACTTGTGCATTTTTGAAACTCATTAGCTATGTTTACAGGGAGAAACGTAGATGTCTTTGCTTCTTAGATCAGCCACAGATTGCAATGTCATCCACCTCCCCACCCCCAATTATGTTCTCTTTTAATAATGGCTACTAATAAATAAACCAACTTCAAATGAGACTTTATGAGACTTGTGTGAAAAAGCCCCATATTCAAAGAATGCAAGCCAGACCATCATCATCATCATCATCATCATCATCATCATCATCATCATCATGCCAAGTGAAATATGGAGATTCTGTTACAAGATGCAGCCAGCTTGAAATCAGATGTTACTCAAGGCAGACAGCCTAAGTGGAGAAGTAGCCACAAAAGGGAAGTACTGCTGGGCCACAGGAAAGGTGAAGTTGCAAAGTGGATGGAGTGAAAACTACTGGCTCAGCCATACACATGTGTCTGAAAGGACACAAGGCCAACAAGGTGCAAATAAGTCCCAGAAGGGAAAAGGGCCTCTGATCCCAGGGTGTGGGCTACACTGCTGCATATAAAAAGAGAAGCAGGAGGGAACCAAAAGCTTTGTGAATCAGACCAATGTCCTGGATTCTCTCTGGTCAACAGTAGTTGAAGGGGGGCACAATAAATATGGTGGGTGTCTGTGAGAGAGTTTGAGGAGCATAACTTTGCTTTGCCTTAACAAAACAATTTTCAATGGAAGAGCATCTTGGTATTCATTGGGAACCTTAATGTCAGAGGAGTATTTTAC